CTTTGCCACTAGACTTCAAGAGCTACAAGATTAGGGAGTGAGAATGAGTTTTTTCAAGATAGTATTCCCAAAGGGGCCAGAACTGTGGCACAGCAGTTATTTGGCTGCTTTCAACGCAGGTATCCCATATCAGAGTGCTGGTTTGAGTGCCAACTGCTCTGCTTCCAATCCAGCTCCTTGTTAATGCACCTGGGAAAATACCAGATGACAGCCCAAGTATTTGGGCCCTTGTCACTCATATGAGTAACACGGATGGAGCTCCTGGCTCCTTGCTTTGACTTGGCTCAGTCCTGCTGTTGTAGGCAGTTGGGAAGTGAATCAGCAGATGGAATATCTCTTTCTCTCTCTTTCCGTATCTCTTGCTTTGCCACTCTGCCTTCAAATAAATAAATAAATCTTTAAAAAAATTATATCCTCAGAAGCTAGCACAACACCAAACTTAATAAATAGCTATAACCAGACCAAAAAAACTAATAATGAACATACCTACATCTATCTATGGATCCATGTACATCTTCTCTATCTCTATCTCTATCTCTATCTCTATCTCTATCTCTATCTCTATCTCTATCTCTATCTGGCTCCTTTCATCAAAGCTTAATCACAAAGTACAATTCTCCATTCTGAATATTTTAATAGTCTCTTCAGTATTCCTTACAAGCAAAATAATGGTGGGGGGAAGTTTTTAATGAGGGTCTTGTTGACAGAGGTGCAAACACACAAGGCAGGCAAAACTTGAATTGGTGAATTCTACATTTGCACATTATCTTTACCTCTGATGTACTCCAAAATTTCATTTCATGGTGATAATGAATGTGTGTGAAATTAGCATTCTCTCACTCTTCACAGGAGAGTGCTAGTGAAGATTTTCCAAGCTATGTATTGTGCAGAAAACAAAACGTTTTTCAGGTATCCAACTTTGTAATACAACCTTATCGCCTCAACAGTGCACGTCGTTACCCTTCAGGTAAACCTAAACCTAGAACTGGAGTAAGCCATGGAGTCAAAGAGTAATATTTGATTTCAAGGTCAGTCAATGTCAGGGAATCTTCTCCTTTCACCATAATGCTTGGATGCTTATATCTTTAAATAGCTATTTGTAGGAGACTAAACAGTCTCTGTAAGTGTGGTGTTGACTGTTCTAGGGGCATATGGGATAGGGTGACTGAGTGGGAGCCAGAACTGATGATTCCCATTTCAATCCACTTTTCTGTCCTTCATTCCTTCACTCATTCAGCAAATGAACACTGAATGGTTCCCAGGAAGAGGATACTGTGCTAGTCACTCGAGAAACAAATAGGAAGAAACTGTCGTTTGTCCTTATAGAATTCATTGTCCGATGAGAGAAATCAAACAAAAGGAAGGATTACAGTACAACTCTTGTGAATGCTGTTTACCATGGCTGCTCTTGGCACCCTGGGCTGCATGCCCTCAGCTCTCACCCAATTTCAGCCATAGCTGTGGGGGACAGCTCCTGTGCCTGCAGACAGCTTTCTCCTACACAGATTCCTTCTGCAAGAGCTTGCTCCCTTGCATCCTGGACAGCCAAGACCAAGTGTGTGATCAGCTCTGAGAACAACCCCCCCAGAGGGGGCGATGAGAATGGGTGGATCAACGGTCCACCTCCCACTCCTCCATCCTTTAGAAAGACAACACAGAGGGTCACTACACACAGTTCCTTGGAGAGTCCTCTTGGAATTGAGCCCCAGTTGTCCCCTAAAATAACCACCCCAACTGTGCATCTTTACTAACCTCTCCTCTTCCCATTTTCTCTCTTCCTACCCCTTCATTCCTGTTCCTAGTTTCATCCTCCAAGTAAAGGTCACTGTATACAGTGCTTTCCTGTTTTTTATTTTTGCTTTGCCAACCTGAAAATCACATTAAGTATTGGGTGTAGGGATGCAAAATAGGAGCTTACAGGTCAGAGCTAAAGTACTTCTGGAAGGAAACAAAGTGATTTAAGCATAGAAGAAGGAAAAAATGCAGAAGCTGGAAGACTACACTGCTGCACCTGTAGCCAGGGCAGGAAAAGCACATAGGAGAAGTGACAGGCAGAAGAGTTGGTAGAAAAGAGCTGGATATTGAAGATTGCTTTCAGTAAGCAGGATGTGTGGTTTGTGCAGTAGAACATCCCCTGAGCTTTTCTCAGGCTTACACCAGGCCGTGTGTGCCTCCCAAGCTCATGGGACCACACACTCAGGAACAGACTTCAGAGTCACTTCTGACAGTCCAGTCTTGGTGCCTGCTCCTGGGAACGGCTGCCACTCAGGAAGATCCCCATCAACAAAGGACAGGACTGAGGAGTCAAATGGCCAAGTAAAATGAAACCTGGAGCAGGGCTTGCATTCCTTATACTTTGTTTTTATGTATTATGTTTTAAAATTTTATTTGATTTCAATGTATTTAAGGCAGAGGCAGGGAGAGAGAGAGAGGTAGAGCTGGGGGTGGGTACGGAGAGAGGGGGGCCAAACAGAGAGAGAAACATATCTTCCATCTGCTGGTTCATTCCCCAAATGTTTGCAACAGCTGAGGATGGATCAGGTTGAAGCAAGGAACCTGAAACTCAACCCAGATCTCTGACACGGGTGTTAGGGACCTGACTACTTGAGCCATTACTGCTGCCTAACAGGGTGTACATTTACAGAAAGCTAGACTGAGAAGCAAAAGACTTGAACTCAGGCACTTGGATAAAGGATGGGGGTTTTCCAAGAGCTCCACCAAACACCTATTCTATTAGGCTTTTCCATGAAAATCACTATTTATGTATGAGTTGTGTTTTACAAAGCAGAATTTAGATTTGGAATGAGGAAAATATTCCCAATCAACATAAATCACATGTAGTTCTCCCCGTGATACTTCCCACTGCACCAGGATGAAGCAGCAGATGGGAGCCGCAGCACCCAGCACAGTACCTGGCACACAGAATTTTCAGTACAGGCTTACAAAAGAAAATCAGGAAGAAAAGGAGGAAGGAGGGAGCGATACAGTTAGTGACCCTTCAATCAAAAGATTTTAACAACTGTGTAAATTCAGGATGAAGGCACAGAACCCTGTCAATTAAATCTTTGCTGCGAATAAAGACAATAATGTAATTTGGGATCTCTGCATTCTTTTGGTTAGGCATGGTTTGGGGGTTGCAGGGGGAGCACACAGAGAAAGGATACTATGTTCCCATGGAGGAAGTAGAAACGTTTTTTCTTCCTTTGGAAAACATCAGTGGATAAAATAATGTTTTCTTATGGGTAATGAGATATGGGCTTCCTTCCAGAAAGCGACAGATTCTTCCAGCAAATCCTGTGGCTTTTGATGTGAGCACCGCTAAGAAAATACCTACAGCAGGGCAGGCACAGAAGAGAAATTTGAAGAAGGCATTTCATGTTCTTCTGTGCTGTGACTCTGATGAACACAAAGGATTGGGTCCCAGAAGATGAACACTTCCCCCTGAGAAAAGCTTTGTTTCACATTCTCCTGTTGGGATATAGTACTGGAGAAGAGGTGGCAGATAACTACCGGGTATTCCCATTGTCCAAATGTTCATTCTTCAAGTCTCCATAGGCAACAGGTTGCCAAGAAAAGCAAAAGGCACATAACATAAAAATATTTACCAATGAATTGACCCTTCATAACATTAACACTGAGTTAAAAATCCCTTGTCAAGTACAAACACCCGTATTACACTACAGATTCCAGTAAATCAACCATGAAGACATATGGAAACTCTCGTAAATGATACAGAGTTTCATGAATTCAGTCACAGTGATCAGGGAAAGTGTTCTAAATACCAGCAGTCTTTGGCCGGTGACGATCTTGAGCAAACTATTCAACAACTGAAAGGACAACCCACCATAAAAGAAACGACGTAACAGCCCTTCAGACAGAAAATTATCTGGGCAGGCATTCCATATAGTGGTTGAGACACTACTTTGGATGCCTGACTCCCTTGAGTATCTAGGTTCAAGTTCCTGCTCTGCTCCCAATTCCAGCTTCCTGCTAATGTGTACTCTGGGAACCAGAAGGTAGCAGCTCCTGTGGCTGGCTCCTTGTCACTGGCTCATGATTTCAGCCTGCTCCAACTCCAGTTTTTGAGGGAGATTTGGGGAGTAAACCTACAGATGGGATATATATATATATATATCTTTGTCTGTCTCTCTACCTTTCACATAAAATAGAAATAAAGAAATAATTTCTAAATGATCTGAATATTAAAGGAAAAGATCATTGAGGAAATGGACAAATACTAAATATTATTCTCAGAATGATGCTTATTATGAACTCCTGCTGAACTTAAAATGAAAAATACCATTATCAGGGCTGGCACTGTGGCATAGTAGACTAAGGCTCTGCCTGCAGCTCCGACATCTAATATGGGTGCTGGTTTGAGGCCCGGCTGCTGCATTTCCAATCCAGTTCCCTGCTAACAGGCTGGGAAAAGCAGCAGATGGCTCAAGTGCTTGGGCCCCTGCACCCACATGGGAGACCCAGAAGTTCCTGGCTCATGGCTTTGGTTCAGCCCAGCTCTGGCCTTTGCAGCCATTTGGGGAGTGAACCTGTGAATGGAAGATCTCTCTCTGTCTCTCCCTCTGTCTGTAGCTCTACCTTTCAAATAAATATCTTTTTTTTTTTTTTAAAAAAAAAAGATACCATTATCATGCTACCGTAAAATTTGTGTTGAGGGGCCAGTGTAGTGGCTTAGCAAGTAAAGCCAGAACCAGTGACACTGCCATCCGTATGGGCACTAGCTCATGTCCCAGCTGCTTTGCTTCCAATCCAGTTCTTTACTAATGGCCTGGGAAAAGCAATGGAGGATGGCTCAAGTGCTTGGGCCCCTGTCTGTCATGTGGGAAGCCCAGAAGAAGCTCCTGGCTTTCACTGCAGCCATATAGAACACACAGACTGTTTGAGTGGTAACTTCTTTTTTTTTTTAACTTTTATTTAATGAATATAAATTTCCAAAGTACAGCTTATGGATTACAATGGCTTCCCCCCCCATAACGTCCCTCCCACCCGCAACCCTCCCCTTTCCCACTCCCTCTCCCCTTCCATTCACATCAAGATTCATTTTTGTTTCTCTTTATATACAGAAGATCAGTTTAGCATACATTAAGTAAAGATTTCAACAGTTTGCTCCCACACAGAAACATAAAGTGAAAAATACTGTTTAAGTACTAGTTATAGCATTAAATCTCCATGTACAGCACACTAAAGACAAAGATCCTACATGAGGAGTCAGTGCACAGTGACTCCTGTTGTTGACTTAACAATTTGACACTCTTGTTTATGGCATCAGTAATCACCCTAGGCTCTTGTCATGAACTGCCAAGGCTATGGAAGCCCCCTGAGTTCGCCAACTCTGATCATATTTAGACAAGGCCATGGTCAAAGTGGAAGTTCTCTCCTCCCTTCAGAGAAAGGTACCTCCTTCTTTGATGACCCATTTTTTCCACTGGGATCTCACTCACGGAGATCTTTCATTTGTTTTTTTTTTTTTTTTTCCCCCAGAGTGTCTTGGCTTTCCATGCCTGAAATACTCTCATGGGCATTTCAGCCGGATCCGCATGCCTTAAGGGCTGATTCTGAGGCCAGAGTGCTGTTTAGGACATCTGCCATTCTATGGGTCTGCTGTGTATCTCACTTCCCATGTTCTCTCCCTTTTTTATTCTATCAGCTAGTATTTGCAGACACTAGTCTTGTTTATGTGATCCCTTTGGTTCTTAGTCCTATCATTATGATCAATTGTGAACAGAAATTGATCACTGGGACTAGTGAGATGGCATTGGTACATGCCACCTTGATGGGATTGAGTTGGAATCCCCTGGTATGTTTCTAACTCTACCATTTGAGGTAAGTCAGCTTGAGCACGTCCGGAATTGCACATCTCTTTCTTCTCTTATTCCCACTCTTATAATAACAGTGATCACTTTTCAGTTAAGTTTCAGCACTTAAGAATAATTGTGTATTGATTACAGTATTCAACCAAAAGTATTAAGTAGAACAAACAAAAAAAAATACTAAAAGGGATAACATATTAAGTTGCTCATCAACAGTCAGGGTGAGGGCTGATCAAGTCACCATTTCTCAGAGGACTTTGAGAAGGGAATTTCATTTTTTACACAAAATACCTAATAATTGTTTAACATTTCCATACTTATGCCTTGTCAAGAAAATTTAAAACAATAACTCCTATATTAAATGTTTATTGTTAGTTTTTTCTAAGATGTAGTTACTTATAGATTGATTGATTTGAAAGGCAGAGTGACACAGAGAGGAAGAGAGAAAGACATCTCGTATCGGCTGGTTCATTTCCCAGATGGCCCCAGTAGCCAGGACTGGACCAGGTGGAGCCAGGAGCCAGGGACTCCATTGGGTCTCCCATATGTGTGGCAGGAACTCAAGAACTTTGGCCATCATCTGTTGCTTCCTGGGTACATTAGCAGGTAGCTGAATCAGAAGTGGAGCTGCGGGGACTCAAAATAACGCTCCCACATGGCTGGTGGCTTAACTTGCTGCACCACAACACTCACCGCTGCTCTCAACTTAAATTGCAGGTGACAAGCCTCTGAAAACCTTCTCCTACTTCTTAATTTCCAAATCCAGCTTGCTGCTAATTCACACCCAAGGAGACGAAAGATGATGACAATTCAAGTGCTTGGGTTCCTCCACCCATGTGCAAACATAAACATAGTTCCCAGCTCCTGGTTTTGGTCTGGCCCAGTCCTAACTGTTGCAGGCATCTGGGGAGTGAACCAATAGGTGGAAGATTTCTCTCTCTGTGCATCTCTTTCTCTCTCTGTCTCTCCAAATCTCTCTGCCTTTCAAACAAATAAAATAAATTAAAATTTTAAAATATATATTTAAAAACAAGCTATAAAAATGAAATATTCTGGACATTTCAGCTTTCTTACTATATGATGTTTATATGAAATCTCCAAAATTATTGCCAGTCATGGAAATGTAGAATGTTCCTAGAAGTAATGCCTGAGAATTTAATTTTATTTCTTAGGGCAGTGAGACTTACCAGGGAGAAGAACAAGGGTGCATTTGTTGGGAAAGAACTTCAACATTTTACTCTATGCCTTTTTGTACTGATCAAAATTTTTACAAGAAACTCATATTATTTTTATAATAAAACAGAAACTAATTAAAAATGCAAAAGAAAATATTGGCAAGCATTTTATAAGGCTTTTAAAAAATACATTAACACTCCTGGCAACTGCAAGGTAGATATTATCTTCATTTTAAAAATGAAGACACTAAGGCTCAGAATTTCTGTGACTTGTCCAAGGTCATAAAGTTAATAAGTGGCAGACTGAGGACTCAAACACAAATCTGACTTTAAAGCCAAGGTATAGCTCTTTAAAAATGTAATACACAAGGTTTTCCTTTGTTTTATTAAACAAGGAGATAGTGGTTTGCTTGGAGGCTAAGTGTGTTACTTTAGGGATGGAGAGAGATTTATTTCTTTTAGTTTATGGCAGCAGTAAAGCTTAGGGCTACAAAATAAATGCTTTCCTGGACTAAGGGACCCAAAGAGGAATCATATTAGGTGCCAAATTGACAACAAATTTCCTGCTAACACTATTATTAGTATCTTAAGCATGATCATATTTCCTAAATATTATCTGTCGGCTCTGGCAACAAAACCTCAAACATAGAGCCTTCCATATAGGAAGCAATCAATGCATATTTAAAATTTGTTAAAGTATGAATGTGTGTGAATATTTATATTCATACTTATATATATGTATGTTTTCCTGTGAGCATGAATTTACATATTATAGAAAAAACTGAATTTTAATTCCTATCGTAGTTGAATAACAAGCATACATTTTAATTTCTCTGAAACACACTACACTTTTCCTACTGTCTAAAATGGATAGTTGTTACTTCTATAAGAATAAGAGCAACAGAACAGGTGTTCAGCCTAGTGGTTGCAACACCTGTGTCCCATAACAGAGGACATGGGTTCACTCCCAGGCTCCTGCCTCTGATTCTATGTACCTCATGATGCAGACCCTGGGAGGCAGCAGTGACAGCTCAGATAACTGGGTCTCTGTCACCCCTGTGGAAAACCTGCACTGAGATCCAGGCTCCTAGCTTCAAGCTGGCCCAGCCCTACTCACTGAAGGCATTTGGTGAGTGAACCAGCAGATGAGATGGAAGCTCTTCTCTTCTCTTCTCTTCTCTTCTCTTCTCTTCTCTTCTCTTCTCTCTTCTCTCTTCTCTCTTCTCTCTTCTCTCTTCTCTCTTCTCTCTTCTCTCTTCTCTCTTCTCTCTTCTCTCTTCTCTCTCTGTCTCCCATCTCAAAATAAAAATCTTCCTAAAAAGAAAAGGATAAAAAAGCAGGAATTTTTCTATAAGACAAGGCAACTATTATAAAACCACACTAATCATCTGTATTGATTGAGGAATAGACAAATTAACCAGGGGAACAGAAAAGAGAGGCCAGAAATAGATACAGTAATTTAATATATGACAGAGGTAATGGTAGCAGGATGTACTTGGTAGTAGGGGAGGTCCAGGTGAGGGATATGGAGAGAAAATTCAACACATTTAGCTGGAAAAATTGTTTTTCATCATAGAAAATACAATTTTGAATCACTACCTCAAATCAAACTCAAATGACAAATATACATATATTAAGAATTTGACTGTCACCCAAAAAGTTAAACTAGAAAACAGGAAAGATGGAGACAGATTTGTTAAACAATATACAAAGCATACGAATCATTAAAAAAATTGATAAATTCAATTCCATTAGAAACAAGAGCCTATTGTAAGAACACCCTAAAGAAAGAGGGGGGGATCACAAGGAGGAAGAAGACATCTTCAATGACCTAACAACCAACAGAATAATATAAAGAACTAAGAAACTCCTTTACATCAATAAGAGAAAGCAAACAACTCAACAGAAAAATTGGCAAAAGACATGGACATTTTACAGAAAAGGAGACATATCTGGCTAATTCATATAAAGAAAGAAGAACCTCGGGGCCAGCACTGTGGCTCACTTGGTTAATCCTCCACCTGCAGCGCCAGCATCCCATATGGGCACCAGGTTCTATTCCCGGCTGCTCCTCTTCCAGTCCAGCTCTCTGCTGTGACCTGGGATAGTAGTGGAGGATGGCCCAAGTGCTTGAGCCCTGCACCTGCATGGGAGTTCAGGAAGAAGCACTTGGCTCCTGGCTTCGGATTGGCGCAGAGCCCCGGCCATAGCGGCCATTTGGGGAGTGAACCAATGGAAGAAAGACCTTTCTCTCTGTCTCTCTTTCTCACTGTCTATAACTCTACCTGTCAAATAAATTTAAAAAAAAAAAAAAAGAAGAAGAAGAAGAACCTCTTTTGTAATCAGAGACATACGATTGATCAAGGTCCAAATGCAATTCTAAATTTTATGCCCACTATCTCAGAAAAAATAAGAATACTGAGTGTAGGAGAGGATGTAGTTCAATGAAAAGCTTTACACATTCTAGAAGAAGGGTGAATTATTACAGCAACATAGGAGAACAATTTCATGCTACTTTCTGAAGCTGAATATTCACATACCACCAACACAGCAGTTCTACTCCTGTGTGTCAGTGTCCTTCCAAGAGAAAATTCTGTTGACATGCCCATGAGGACATGCTCCAGAGCATCCTTGGGAATGCCTTTTAGAGTGATAAGAACCTGGCAACACTGAAATTTCTATTGACAAGAAAATAGATCAAAGTGCCTGTAACAGTGCTTAGCATATAGTAAACCCTCACTGAACACTAACCATTATTATTAGCCCTGAGTATCCATTTCTTCAAGGATAATATGGCAATAAGAGCACTTATTTTATAAGAATATGTAAAGAATTGGGGCCGGTGCCATGGCTCACTTGGTTAATCCCCTACCTGTGGCACTGGCATTCCATATGGGCGCCAGGTTCTAGTCCTGGTTGCTCCTCTTCCAGTCCAGCTCTCTGCTGCGACCTGGGAGGGCAGTGGAGGATGGCCCAAGTGCTTGGGCCCCTGCACCGCATGGGAGACCAGGAGGAAGCACCTGGCTCCTGGCTTTGGATCAGCATAGCTCCAGCCGTGGCAGCCATTTGGGGGGTAAACCAACAGGAGGAAGACATTTCTCTCTGTATCTCTCTCTCATTGTTTGACTCTATCTGTCAAATAAAAAAAAAAGAAGAAGAAGAATATGTAAAGAATTAATTGAGGAAAATACGTAAGCCCTTGGCACATGGAATGCATGTGATAATTGTTACTGCTTTCTTACAAATTTGAGTGAGGGAGAGAGCTGTCAGGTTGACAATGGATGAGTGGATGCAAGTCGGTGTTGTTGCAAGTCAAGGCCTGCCCTTGACTGCCTTTCCAGGGCTACATGTTTTAGTCTTCAGTCAATATTTTAATACTTACTCTGTGCCAGGAAAGTACTTTCTAAGAAGCACTGCTCTGTTCCCATTTATTCACTTACATACAGAGCCTTTGAGAGCTGAGATGATTTGCCCAGGTGTTCCACCACAGAAGGAGTAGGTCTGCACTTGAACTCAGACTGTTTGGCTCAGGACCCACTCCGAAAACCAGCACTCGGTACTTTGCTGATGTCAAAAGAGCTAAATGCCACCAGGGCTACTTGTTAACTACAGCACAAAGCCAAAGAAAAACTCAACTGGCAGAAATTCTAGAATCCTTGTAGCCTATATCCCCAATCAAGGGGTGTGCATGTGAGCTCCACTCAGGTAGGGCAACCCAGTCTTGACAACCGATGGGAGACCTTGGAGCAAATGTCAGTTCTCAGAAGCAGAAGCCACAAATGGTTAAAGGCATTATTCCCTGAAGGGAAGCAGAAAGTCAAATAAGCAATGCTTGACCTTTCGGAAGCTATTATGAAGAAAACATAAAGAAACAATTCTATGGGCTTAATGAAGGAATGCTGTGAAAAGTGTAATGGGCTATTTGCGCACATCTCAAAAGCATCATATAATTTGGCACAATTGGCAGCCTATTCTCCAGCATGACCAAGCAGGGTGTTGTGCTCAAGTCCAAAATGCTTTGGCAAATCCAGGTCCCCACCTCCACCCCTTCTCTAAACCCTGGGTGTGCATGATTTAATTTTCAAGGCTTACACATCAATTGCCGAAATGAGATGTGGCACAGGCTCACTTATGCTCCCTGAGTATAAAATATGTTTTATGCTTCAAAATATGAGCCTTATTTTGGTTTTGTTTTGTTTCATTCCTGCTACAAATACAGGGTTCTTTTTATTATTTTAATTGAATTTTCAGGGAATTATTTCATTAGGTTGAGTAAGCTCTTTATGATTTTTGGCGGGCTGGTTGAAGAGTGAGGTAGTAGAATACATTATTGTTTCACAAAACAGCTTTTGGTCATGTTCCACTCTCATATTTTGAAGCCAATTTCATAATGGCATTTAGAATGCAGAGTCTATGCATAAGATCATCAGTGGCTACATTAGCACAATGGCACTATTAGAACCATAACAGTCTGCCATAGAGATGGTCTGTGGATTACATAAGTCTGTAAGGTCAGATACACTTACAAAGTTTTTTTACCCTTTTCCATTATTTATTCCTCATTAGGCTTCCTCCCCTTTTTCTCTGCTCTTGAATAAAATGCAAACATAATACACAAAGTCAAGAAAAAACACTTCCAAGTAGGTTTAACTTAAGCTAAGAGAAGGCTGGGGCAGTGATTCCACCAAAGCAATGATTTTCAGTTAATCTCAGGGCTCAGTCTATATTTTTTAAAGATTTATTTATCTATTTGAAAGTTAGAGAGAAAGAGAGGAAGACAGACAGGTCTTCCATCAGATGGTTCACTCCCCAATTGGCCACAATGGCCGGAGCTGCGCCGATCCAAAGCCAGGAGCCAGGAGCTCCTTCTGGGTCTCCCACATGGGTATAGGGGTCCAAAGACTTGGGCCATATTCTACTGCTTTCCCAGGACATAGCAGAGAGCTGGATCGGAAGTGGAACAGTCGGGTCTCGAACTGGCGCCCATTTGGGATGCCGGCACTTCAGGCCAGGGCGTTAACCTACTGTGCCACAGGGCCAGCCCCCAGTCTGTATTTTGTTCCCATGTGGTTTCTATGCACAGTTCACATGAGCTTCCAAATAAAGGAATACCTGTGTGTCTTTGGGAGTCAAGAGTTTCTAGCTTTTGGAGATACTTCCATAGTATAGAAGACTATGCTATCTATGACTTACATACAGCATTGCTATCTTGGAACTATGTGTGCCTATTTCAGGGTTTTGAACATATTGAAACTGAGTGGTAAAAGCAGGCAGCAAAACTGGTGCATGTATTTGGAAAACATCAACATTTTAATCAACTTCATTGAAGGATGAAGACTTGGCCTCAGGTGGCCAGAGATCAGTAATCAGAGAGCAAACTTCAATACCTTCAGCAGCCCTCATGATGCTGGGATCAGAGCCCATGTTTGGTAAAGCCATAAACAACAGCAGCAGTGGAGTAAATTTAATGATAACAGAAACATGCCCTGGACATCTGTCACCGTTTGATTTAGATCATTCTTTCCTAGCAGGACAGTCTTGCCCTTCACTTCTGACACCAGAAAATAGATGGTGTTCTTCGAAATGGAATATTCAAGCCAAAGGCATTTTCAGACATCCAGAGAAAGGCTTCCTCCAGGAGGACAGCGCTGGCCATCAGCATTTATCATCTTTCCCTGCCAAGACCCAAGAAGTGATGGTAAAAGAATAAACCATAACCAAGACAAGCACAGAAGGGGGGTCATCAATGAGTAAGACATCTCATCACATTTCTCACGGATGGGTGCAGAGCGCAAGCCTATTGGGACTTGAAAAAGAGAGAATCGGGAAGTCAGTACAGTGTATGTTGGAGAAGCTGCCGAGAAGGAAGGAGACAAGTGCCTAGGGGAAGCTACAGAGTGAGGATGGGTAGCGTCAGCACAGGATAGGAATGAGAAAGGGGTTAATTGAAATGACCTTTGGAAGGACTATTTCCATGAGCTTTCTCTCTCACTTTCCTCTCCCCAACCCTGCTCCAGGCAGTGCAGCCCTTGGTTGAAGGGGCAGCAGTGGCTCCTACACTCCCTTCTCAATTCCACAAGCCCCAAACAAGCAAAGTTAGGTCTCACCCTACTGCCACCACCAGCACTGCCTGATCGTGTACCCCCAGGCTGTGACACCACAGGACTCTTGTCTGATGTACCTAAAGTTGGTTGCCTGGAGCAGAGAGAATGGTAGTGCATATGCAGATTTTCCCACAGTACAGGTCTCAAACTTTCTGGTATTTGGGAGCCTCTAGCCTAGAAACCAGCTCGCTGCCAGCTCACTTTGAAGTGAAACTAGCTGAGCAGTAATCCTTGCACACTTCCACAGAGTTCCCAGGCAGCCTGCCCATTTGCAGGCTAACAGTTCTCAGACCTGCATGGACCACAGTCAACAGTTGTCTTCGAAATTCAGCCTAGCAGTTTTAGCCTACATCCCACATTGGAGAACCTGGGTTCATCTTATGGCTCTGGCTCCTGACTCCAGTTTCCTGTCACTGTGGACCCTGGGAAGCAGTGCACCCTGGGAGGCTCAAGTAATTGGGTTCCTGCCACCTGCATGGGACAGCATTTCCAGATGCAGCTTTGGTCTTGACTGTTGCAGGCATTTGAGGCATGAACTACACAGATGAGTTCTCCCAAATCTCTCTCTGCCTTCTCCTCTCCCCACTTCCCTCTCAAAGAAATAAATATTTTTAAAAATAGATGTCATCAGTGTTGTCTTTGTAGTCACCATTGTCATCATCATTACTCTTGTTGAGTACTGATAATATTTCTTGGATCTTTCCAATATATTTCACACTCTTGCCCCAAACTGGGCTCATCACTTTCTCCCCTACCTTTTTTTACCCCTAAACTATTCATCTTCTAATATTTTAGATGTTAGACAATGGACCTGCCAATCATAATAATTAACATTTATAGAACATTTACTCTGTGCCAGGCACTGATCCAAGCACATCACAGATGACAGCTCATTTAAATTTCTCAACAACCATAGGTAAGAAAAGAAGTCAGGCTCAAGTCAATAAGACGCCCCTATTGGGAGTTGGCACTGTAGCACAGCGGGTTAAAGCCCTGCCCTGAAGCGCCGGCATCCCATATGGGCACCAGTTCTAGTCCCAGCTGCTCCTCTTCTGATCCAGCTCTCTGCTGTGGCCTGGGATAGCAGTAGAAGATGGCCCAAGTGCTTGGGCCCCTGCACCCATGTGGGAGACCTAGAAGAAGCTCCTGGCTCCTGGCTTCGGATCGGTGCAGCTCTGGCTGTTGTGGCCATCTGGGGAGTGAATCAACAGATGGAAGACCTCTCTCTCTGTCTCTACCTCTCTCTGTAACTGTCTTTCAAATAAATAAAATAAATCTTAAAAAAAAAAATAAGGAGCCCCTATAGCCATTTCAGGTCCATGGCTAAACAGAACTTTAAAAAGAAAATTGAATCTCAAAGATGCCAGGTATTTGTTGTGATTTTTCTCTTTGTTGACAGACAAATTTCAGACCAAAATTTTTAAGGGAATTTTTTGTGTATGCCTAGTTTTGTGGTCTTTTTGGCATATATTTTAAGCCCCTACATCTTGGACTGAGCCCAAAATCCAAGAATGCGGCTTAGACATAGAACAAGAAGCAGAATCACGCGAGGTATCTCACGGGCAGTGCTGATTTATGAGGAGTGCATAACAGTCAAGTGTATCAGCACAGTGTGTATACTGTTAGTTACCCAGAGTGCTTTATGTGTATGCACTCACTTTTAGTTAGGGTTCTCCTGAGAAACAGAATCCACAGAGAAATGGGAACTGCCTCATAGAATCATGGAGGCTGACAAGTCCCACAATCTGCCATCCCCAAAGAGAACCAGGACAGCTGGTCATTACTCAGCTTGAATCCAAAGGTCTAAAGACCAGGGTGGGGATGGAGGAAGCACAACATCTGAAGGCCAGAAACTCAGAAGCATCGCTGTTCAAGGGGAGGACAGGGTCGACATCTCCGCTGCAGGAGACATAGAGAGAATTTGCCCTCCCTCCATGTTTGCATTCCATGTGGGCCCTCAACAGATGCGATGGTGCCCACCCACCAGGAGAGGACCAATCTTGACTCACCCTGTCAATCAAATCTTAA